GTCTTCTCTCCATCCTTCTGGAGTAAGGTACACTGTAAGCTAGAGGATTAGTTCATCTGACCAGTCCTTCGATGTGGGACTTCATTTCGAGACAAGAGGTGAAGCCAATGCCTGACTTTTTCCGGATTTTGTTGTTTCACCCTGGAGTTGTAGGCTCATTATAAATTCGTCTCTTCAGCGTTGTCTGGACTTTTGCCTCAATCCGTGGTGGAAAATGAGGCCATCGCTATTTTAGAAGCTGGAAACCTTGGAGTTCCAAATTCGCCTTTCTTTTTCGTATTATTTTGCCAAAGTATACACAGCACAATAAATATATAATCTCACGGAATATTAACAAGAATACGACGGGTCTCACTGGCCCATTATTGTTTGATTTGCGTGTTTTTGCGTTTTCGCATCTGTCTAAGGTGCGTAGTTGTGAGATTATGCAAAATTCGAGCTGCCAATCCCTCATTGTGGTGACGTTCATGTGGACAAATTCACGAAGACGATGCCTCTACCTTGGTGTCCTATTTAAAAGCGTTTGACATAGTGCAGCTCAATTTGTAAACCTTCGATAGAACCTGCTTCTATGTCAGCATGGTTGTGGAATGCGATTTGTTCCTAATGGCTAACAAGAGCTTTATCTGGTTTTACATTCTTGAGATTTGAACATTTATTCCTCGTATTTTTAGTGTTTCTTAAATATTTTCGCTAACTTTAGTTAGTGGTGCTAATGGTGTTTCCAAATCTGATCCGCTAAACGTGTTTCGAAAAGTAGCTTCTAAATGCAGACGAGACTTGGTGATCACGAGTTGGTGCCACGTGGCCAATGTATTGCACTAAGCAGGTGGCACCAACTTATGTCATCCATGAAACCCGGCCACACTGCCTCTCCTCAGTGAAAATTTTGGCACCCATTAGGAGGAGGAGGCGGAGGAGCATTGTGTGGTGTACATGTGAAGTGTTCAAAACTGCTAATGACTTTAGGCAAGAGCCAATAGGGTTCTCTTGACATGAGCGCCAAGAAACTTTTACCTTGCGCATGTTCCTCCACTCAGAAATCCGTTCTATGATCAGGAGGATTTATCTTCGCTTCTGCAGCCATCCTCGTTTCGTCACAATCCAAATGCCCACCGCCGCAGCTCACCCTCGGCTGTAAGGCTTCTCTTCCTTATTTCTTGGGCGTTTTATTACGTCGCTGACATTTGAAGGGTAGTAAGTGCACAATAAAATAGCCTTGCATCTCAGATTCAGAGAGAAGATCTCATCCATAGCCGCCACCTTTGATCTGGGAGATCATGAGCTAAGTCATTATAACCATAGTCAGCAGATGGCCTTTTAAAAAACTTACCCAGCTAAAATCAGGTGAAGCATTTCATAGCTTTCATGTGTAAGTATCTGAGATGGCCGTAAGGCTGTAAGAGAAATGCTCTAATGTCTTAGTCCCTTTCACTGTAACTGCAACAGAGTATTTTGACCTAAAGTTATCTAATTACTGAAAAGTTTACTAGAGAAAGCTTTAAGCCTCGCCATTACACTTGCACGTATTAGGAAATAGAGTTCCTTTCGTGGAACTCATCAAAATCCTCGGAAACGATTCAGCGAAATTCAATGGCTTAAATACAGAGGATTCTTAGAGGACAGATAGGTAGACTTAGTCGTTCAGAGTATGTAAATATGCTTGAAAGAGTGGATTAAAGTATGAACAGCCAAAATAGGAATGCATTCGGAAGAGCCTAATCGACGCAGACAAATGCAAAGAACAGATGATAGGTTGGGTTATTTTGCAATTACATGACTATTTCAAACTCCACCATCGGTTAATGTCGTAAATGTGGTCTCGAAACGCCAGCAATGATTGTTAGTTAGCGTAATAAAATAAGGACACCGCTTTAGACAGACCACCTCCCAGTCATCTTTCATTTTCTATCCATAAATGAACTCATAAATGCAAGGATCAGTTCATAACCTAATGCTGGAACAAGTATTTAGTCAGGATTACTGGTGTCAGCTACTCAGCCTCTTAATTGCAAACTGCAAACTGTAAAATCGCAACCATTCAAACCAAGTACACACACCAGGATCACTTGCAGTGTTTTAAAAGCTATCAGAGTTGACATTCTTCAAAACTCTTTCTTTTTAACTCCTAGATGCTTCAAGTCCTCTAAAATGGTCACCTTAGGGTCATCACGATGTCGATGAAGCTATAAACATAAATTGTTCATTTTTGAATTCATTGGCATTCTTCGGAGTTCAATTAAACTGAAAATAAATGTTTTAGTTTCGTCAAATCAAAAGTGCATCAGCGAACCCTAAGCCAAGAGGTGCGAGGTCAAGTAACTTCCATGGGAAATGATTTCGCACATTACGATTTCTTCATGTTGATGGGGCATTGCTCTAAATATTTAAAGCATTGGCTACTTACAAAGTTAATGTGAAAATGCTATTGTAAATTTTAAATGACATCCAAATTTCTTTTTGCAAAGATGACAATATCGGGGGACAGCCCTGCGGATTCCGTCGTTATGGCAACACATCGTCTTACTCCCCTAGAGTGAGTTTGCACATTAGAGGAACCTTCGCTTTCTACCTTTTATTTTTCAGAAAAAAAGGTATCATTTAACGAAGGTGATGTTGGTTTATAGCTTGCAAATTGGCCTTAAGCAGCGACAACAAAATAATTGGAAGTCTTATAACACGTGCTGGACTAAGCGATGACTTAAGCCCTGGCGATCGATAAATCAATAAGAATTGCACCCGTAACATGGTTATGTGGTTTTGTGCCCACCCATTACCCAAGTCAGTTAGTTCTCCGCTCTATTTTCTAAAATGTGAATGGAAGGAAAATGACGAGTGCATGGGTGTCATCAATGTTTAAAGCCATAACAGAACGAGTTGCGTCATTTTAACGTCAAAATCAGTAGATTGGAGGTAAGTTTTAGGTAAAAACGGGGATTTCGTTGAGATGTGCATCAAAATGAAGAATCTAGGTTGATTAGCCTACTCGCTGCCAACATCAATGCAAACTTCGGTGTAAATCAGCTTTAAAATGAGCATAAGTTTATCCAATTTATTGATATCAATAAAACGCATGGTGAGATGCCAAGTGGATTGGATTTACATCATCCAGGTAACGTTGAAGCAGTGGTAAGATTTAGCGGCAACTTAAGAAAGAACACCACCTTCATTTGCATACTCTGTACTAGGGAGATGTCTTGAAGTTTTATTCGTCGAATGCTATCTTGTATCCTTAAATTGCATAAATTGTTTATTTTTATTGCTTGCGCCCTTGCTAATCTTGTAATAGCACATCCACAGTGCATAATTCCCCCCTCTATCGCAAAGTGATTCCTAATTTTATTCCTTTTCTGACTTTCTGACGTGGGATGAGCACTGAACGTATTAGCTTGACAACCTATAATTAAATTTTCTTACCATTGAAACGTGCTTTATGTCTGTCACATGTGACTTCGATTCGAAGTTTAGTTTCGAAACAACCATGAAATAATGAAAATACATCAAAACGGGGTATAAATGACGATATTAATAATGCCTAGTTCCATCAATGAGTATCATTGTGCAATGGCTCATTTGTTGGATTGACGCTCGGTGGTAGTGAAGGGTCGTCTTAGTCCTCCGCTTTTCAATTTAACCTATGAGCCATATCGGTGACCCAAGTTTTGCAACTTTCGCCCTTGGAGGCATCCTAAAGCCCCGCAACCCTTACCGCTTAATCGATTCAGTCAAACATTAGGCGAAAATTATGTTAATTTGGATACAAACATCCCACTCTCATTTTTCTTTCCGTCTGCAAATAGAAAATGTCGTCACATGAGCATAGTTGGTCCAATTTGTGATGTTGGCAAAAAACAGTCATCTTAAGTGGATGCCAATACATGACATGTTTTTTCGCACAATCTCCTCTGCAAACCGTGGGAGCTGTCAAACAGCTATGATTATCGAGTCACTAAAAGTGTATTATGGATTTACAGACCGAGACAAAGTAGGGATTTGGCTTAAATTAATATGCATTAGCAGAACTTTGGGTTATCGTCCCTTTCCTTTTCCTTACTCGAAATCGAAGTTGCGAAGATCCACTGCTTTTATGTGAAATTAATAGTTTACTCATGAAGCAGTGGCAAGCCGAAGTTACTACCCCTGATTTTATCAGTGGATTTCTGACATCGCACAATACAATACTCTGGGGACATGTACTGCGTTTCATGCTGAATCGGTATTCGTTTGACAAAAGGTGGGGCTGTTTGCCTTTTTATTTCTAGATGGAATCTAACTTTTTCGCGTTGTAATAAGGCTTGTTGAATGAAAACGGGAACGATTTCTTGCAGGAACCTCTAACACAGCTTAAAGGGGGATTTTTGATTCGGGCTGTTTTTCACAATTTAAAAGTGAAGGTGTAGTGCAACCATTAAACACTCCGTGGACCACTTGACTGCATCTTAATGTAGTGCCTTTCCCTTCAGATTTTATTAGTCTTCTTTGAAGCCAAAGTATGGATGTCACAGATAAAAGGTGTTTGCCATGGAAGTAAAGGGTTTTTAAACCCTACATTACCAGAACCTGTAGGTGACAGAGATGCATTTAGAAATTGCGATATGTAATTATTCAATTTGGTTATGGGGCCTAGAAGCTTTTCGTTGGACTGATGAAGGCATAACGCTTGGAGTGAATTTGTAACATCAATATATGAACGTTTGGGCTCCATTGGTGTGACCCACAGGCCAGGCTACCTGGCTGATCTCCTGATTGACTTGTTACCAAGACAGACAGACGCATAAACTATCTTGTTGCTATGGTCTTTCAAAAACATTGAGGCTACACTTTGATTTAAGGTCATATGAATGGAATATGTCTGTTAAGGTCGATTTTCTGTTCGAAATTTTATCTGCATTGTTTCAAGTCTCGTTAATGGCTTAGACCCGAATACAATGACCAATCCAGAATCGGTTCTAATAATCGGTTGGCCTTTGAGGTCTCATGAAGTGAAATTGGATACGCAAGAAGTAGGTACTGAATAATCAAAGATGCTTGTACGATCCCGCATGAGGACTTGCCGTTGTACAAGCGCGTTTTGCCTGTTGTTGTTACTCTATAATGTTTGTGGCGAACTTAGCTAACTTTAAAATCCGGATTGTTTTGGTGGAAATTTAACCGTAGGTTACTTAAATAATTCAAAACTGTTGTGAATGTTGAGCGTAAACTGGACCATTTAGTGCAAAATTAGTTTGTCATGGGGTAACATGACCTTGGTTCTATCAACATTGCCTTGACACCTGTAGCATTGCCAAACAATTTCTTAACAGCTCCGAATGCTTGAACGAAGGCAGTCGCCTCCATTTATCGGACTTCGGCGCATAGGTACACGAAAATATTGGTACAGAAGGCTAGAATTGGCACTGTTTAAGTGCACTATTTCGGCCCTCTCCTATTGGTTCGCCTTTGACCAATCAAAACTACGTTAGGTCGTGACCCTGAGTACTGATCGTTTTTTGAGTTGCAGGCAGTAGCCTAAACGAAGAACTGTTGTACACATCGTAATTTACGTTTGGCTTTGTACCGTAGCATGAAGGTTTTCAAAAGTCTTGCAGCCACGTCCTTTAATGTATTGCAAGAAGTTGTGTCAGGCTTTAGTGCCATGCGAGATGATAGGCAACGGTTTTGTACACGTCCTCGCTTCGTAGGAATTTCTCCAATTTCGCAGCCGGATTCAAAAGTATTTGATATTTCAGAACCGCTTAATGCACTAAAACAATTTGGAACTTTGCTGTTGCTAAATAGAAATTCAGTAGATTGGTGTCGACGGGTAGTACCTGCAATAACAGAAAGGTTTTCGAGATGCTAACACAATATCTCTGATAGTTTCATGGGTATGGGTGTTGTTACTGGTGTTGCTGGAACTCCGCGTAAGTATTCGATAAACATGACTTAGTGCACCTGACGTTGCATTGCCCTTGGCCTTGACATTGAGGAAGTCCTCGAGAAGCCTCTGTGGGATGTCATTCGGGTAACCATGTTGCAGTGAGAGAGTTGGGATCGCTGAAGATTTTAAGATAAACGCAATCTGTAACCGCTTTAATTCGTCTGTATCGTTAAAGTGAATAAATCAAGAAGCAATCTGCATCACCATTTAAACATGGGTTCGCATGGATAAGAATGGCGGTTTTTCTTATTAACACTCAAAATTCACTTATTCGTTAAGGCGTTTGTAATTCTAGAAGTTCCATCGCCTCAAATTTCTCGCATCGCCTTACGTATTTTAGAGCTCTAGGCATTGAGAGTCAGCTGGCCTTCAAAAACTCCTGGGAGCTCAGAACCCTCGACGTTGTTTGTATTTCAAGCTGCAACAAGGCAACGGGTGCTAGCTCTCCCCGTGTGTAATTAAGGCCTACTGTCAATCTTTATCAATTTAATGTTTCTGGTTTTTCGAAAGCCTCGTACAGGGCCTAATTTGAAAACAAAAAAATCCTGAAAAAGTTTTGCATGTAAGAGTCCTAATGTCGTGCTCTCCTCAGCAGAACCACTGATCTGTTTCCGCCCCCACGCAAGCGAGAGATTGGCTGGTGGTGCGGTATAAGAACGGGGTCTACTGCCAGTCTCAGCATCTACTCTACTAGCACACGACACATTTGCGTGTACACATAAGCTGTTGCATACACACACACTCAGTAGGTTGCATTAACCTCATTCGGCAGGGCAATTCAGCACGCCTGAAGAGCTCCCTTTCCAAGTACGAAGGCAAGTCACTGGCTAACTGTTAACTGACTTTTGGTGAAGTTTAGGGGTAAAGATTTCTCTTGCATCAACTTCTCCATTCAACTCGATAATTAGTAATTTTGAGGAAGTTTACTAAATAGTTTTTGTGCAAAGAAAAATCCTAGTAAAGCACACCTTTTAGTGTGTGCATATGTGTGGTCAACTTTGGTCGAAGGCATCGTTTCCACCTCTTTAATTATTCCTGTCTATCAAATTATTGCAAGCTGTTTCCTTGACAAATTGCGATTGCAATGGTTGAAATGTGGGAAGCGTTTATCGTTATGACTCTCTTAAATCTTCTTCTTAACAGTTTCAGTGAGTCAGTATTCATGAGCACAAAAGCGATCCATCCATGGAGGTCAAGAGGTTATGATTCGGAGACGAGAGTGGAGGATAGCAGCGCAAACAACAACTCCGACTTTTTTGAATCACATCCATCCCCTACAGATGTCAACTCGTCTTTTAGTCAATATCGTCCGAGGACATCGAAGCCGGTCACCCCTGACAGGAATTTCGAACAGACTTCTGTTCCTAAAAGTGAGTAACAGCAAAAACGACTCATTTGTAATCAGAGCAAGGCTGGGATTCGTGTCACATCGTCCACGGTTATGGAACTCAATGTTTGCGCTTCTAATGTCGTTTTTAATGGACGTCGAGTAAACCTTCTGAAGTTGGATTAATGTTGAGCTTTGTGTAATAATTTCGTGTTTCGGTAAACGGAATTCGAGTTCCAGACTATCAAGGCATTGTTCAAGATGTAATCGATGGTGATCGAAGCATTTAGAGAGTCACTCTGATACCCTTGTATGCTCCAAGACGCATAAATTAGACGTGACTCAGCTCGCGTCCCTTCACCTTTCGACTGGCTCTGTTTAATTTATGCGTGCTTCTTTTATACACCTCTAGTGATGGCAATTTTTAGCGAGAATTTGGCGATCGATGCTGTCGTACTTTAGTCGGTTCAATTGCAAGCCCCATTGCATCCCTTCAAAGAATTCTTATCGATGGCGTGCCAACTGGCGAATTGATCGTTATAATTTAGGCGAATTCATGGCCTGGTTCGTGTATTCTAAAAACCCTCAAAGACTATGCCGCTTTTGATACGTCTTGTGTAAGTTTCACTACTTTCATGGAAATTTTACTACAAATCACGTCTGACGCTAGCAATAGGATAATTCTTGCGAGGAGCAGCGTCTCTGTTCCAAAAGTAAGCAAAGCATTCCCTCCACGCTGGATCAGCGCACTTATTCATCAGCCAAACTACCATGCAATAATACAAAGCAACCTTAATTTTGAACTCGCCGAATTTAAATTTACGATAGTGTGGCTCTTTGAAAGGAGGTGTAGATCTCACCGAAGAGGGAGCGAGCCTGGTTCTGTTGCGGTTTAAAACCTTATGTCACATAATGCCCTGCTGAAAGGCGTAAGGATTTATGCTGATTCTTTCCAAATAGGTGATTTACAAGGTTTGAAATCAGATGTCAGAGAAGCTCAAAGATCCGTTTCTTGAGTGGTCGCCATTGCTTTAGTCTTTAGTTTTTTACCTCGTACTCTTTCGTTTTTAGCCTCCATTCGACGGCGCATGGGACAAATGCTCGCCCGCTCCACTCCTGACATCAACGCGGAGTACACCCCTTTGGCTGCAGTAAGCTTTTAATAACTATTAAAATGCGTAAACATACAAGCTATTTTCGATCCTCGTGTTATGCGCATAATCAAAGTCGAAATAATTTGTGACAGAGACCTCCGACGTTTATGCGTCGACGTGGGCGTTCCTATGATCACATAGGCTCCTTGATGGTAGGTCGCATCCACTAGCATGTCATCTTAACATCATCATTACCCTTTTGTTCGGCCAAACCTCTTTCCGTTGGGACACCTCTCATTCATCTCCCTTGTACTCCGCCTTCTGATCGTCTTCACTTCAACCGTGTTTTCTTCTTTGTTGTGTTTTTAAGGCTCAAGCAGACAGATTACGGAGCCGCTTGAAAGCCTTTGAAAACGGAAATCTTCCGAAAATTCCCCAAGAATTGCTGGCTCTCTTTCCACAGAACCTCCAACGTCATGACTTTTCTGTTATTGAGAAAATGTGGAACCATCTCACTTCAGCAGAAAATCAGGACACCGACTTGAATTCCAATGTAACTAGCCTCGGTTGCAATCTGATTTCCATTACTGCTACCTCTTATAGATTTGGCGTTTTTTTCTGTTGTTTTATAGAATGCAAGTAAGAAGACTAAAGAGCAGCAGCTTTCCGCAATAATGGAACTTCTTCATACCGAAGCCTGTTACATAAAAACCCTAGAGATGCTTATAGACGTGAGTCTCATTCTCGATTTTTTAAAAATTCTAAACCCTTTCTTAAAGGCGTTTTTAAGTTCCTCTTTTAATTTTAAAAGCCTATTCAACCTAAAATTCGCATTCTTGACCAAAAAATGCCCATAGACAAAGGCAAAGCAGGTTAGAACTTGAATAGAAGTGGGAGAAAAAGGACGATTCCGATTTAATTACCGGGTTCTCGTGGGAGGTCGGTGTGGTGCACAGAACAGTGGGTGGATTTGTGTGAAAGTTGCAACTCTCTGATCCATGGTTGCATGTCTTTCAAACATGCTGACGAGCTTAATGCAATGCATATTTTAAGTTTGAAGGTGGAATATGACTTGTTGGTCTGAGGCCAACTTGCCAAATTCACGCACAATTTTGCTTGTATGTGATTTTAGGAGCAGTGAGTCAAACGCCCACTTCCCGCCTCAATGAGACAGCAAGACGGCGTCAGACGCCAGTACTGCAGGATGATTAACCCACATTCAGGTTCCTCTCCTTGAGCACCTCTTTGGGACTTCCTTTTAGTAGAATGCTAGCGCATAACCACTGCTTGAAATGCATACATTATAATTGTACCGAGCGAGTGCTAAACAGTTAATTTAAAAAAAAGGAGTTCTGCTTCCAAACATTCTAAACGAGGTCCAGGCATGTAATTGAAGGCGCTTGTTTCTCAGAGTGCGTATGATTACGGAGCTTTTATAAGAGTGTACAACTTAGCGTTCCGCTACGGACACCTTTTCTGTCCTTGATTGAATTATCCTCTTGCCTCTTCTCGATTAGTGAGGGTTGGCGAGGGAAGTGACAGTGAAATCGTTAGTGGTGCTGACGATGGTGGCGGTCTGGAAGTTGGCTTTCTTTGTATCCGAGTGATAACTTTGAACTTTAATTAATGCATAAAACAAGATTAACGTCAAACTCTTTTGAGGTTTAAGCTAAGGTCATGGAAAGAATTGACATCGTATTATGGGTCTCCTGGATTCCATGGTAATGATATACATCGTAGCCATCAAGGGCTTCACCTATTGAGTTATGTTAGCCAAATGCATAGCCGTTTTATCAGGCGGTGTTCCACAGCAGATTTGATTCGGTCGATCTTTCTTCATAAAGACGTCGCGATGAGATTATTCATTGGCTTCAATCTATTGTCACACATTCCCATCATATTTATGTCTTTACAGTTCCTTTGGAGTTTAATTCGATCTCTTTGCGCAAAAGCGACTCTATCCATTATATTGAGCAAGTTCTTGAGCGCTCGAGGTTGTGTTCAATCCAAAAGTAATCGTGACATATATGAATTCCGTTGCCTGACTTTCCCTGTTTGGCGCATTACCTTCCTGCAATGAAGTTTGTACCGTGAATCCCATGCCGTTACAAGTGCGCAATTGTGCGCTGCCTTCCCACTATCGATCGTACCTTTTGCGGATGTGCGCTGGTCGCACTCGAAAGGCCACTCTCTCAGCTCTCTCGGTCAACGCGACGACTCATACGAACACTGGAAGGACATCACTTCATTCGCTGACATAAAGCAACTAACTGGAGAATGGCATCTTTTGAACTCCCTTCTAAGGACGTTTACTTCGCCAGTTACTCTTGACGCCTTAGCACATGCTGGCCGGTCGTCACATCAAGCATAAGCACAACATAATAAAAAGTTTGCAACTGTCCGGACATCACATTTTTTACCAATTTCTCATCAATGAGTGCTAGTAAATCCTATAGAAGCAACCGTAGTGGTTCCCACCCTCCTAAGTAATCTGTAAGTGATTTAATCGTAGAAGCAGTTAAAGGTAAATGATGAGGATGTTGAGAGATCGAGCGCCAACCTGCCGGTGCGAGGGACACGTCACGTGCAACTCCAAAGTCCTCTATAGCTAAGTACACAAACCAAACAAGTGTAATTTCACTCAATCTCTTCGTCAGCTGACTGTGACTCGTTGTTATCTGTTTTCTGCTAAGTAAAAGTGCTTACCGATCATCCAGTTTCAGTTGGAACAGAACATTTGAACTGCGCAATCATCAATTGCGTTAAATGCCTCATTTAACTGGTCATTTCAATACTCTTGGTCCATTGGCTGCTCTAGGTTCACATCGCAGTTTACCTTGACCTGACGAAATCCACCACCTCGCCTCATGATTACGCCTACCGCAGCGGTTCCCTCAATCGACTGGGCATGGTGCCCTCCATGGATTCTATAGTCCCCAATGAACTGGCTCCCAGCACTCCCACCGCCAGCACCACCGGATTGGGCATGCGTCGGCGATTTCGAGGGCGCGGGAGCCACGATTTCACCTCCTCCTCCTCTTCCCTCAGCAACATCTCCACCTTTTCCCTCTCGGATTATCCTGGTTTCACAGCTCCCCCATTTGAAGACGTCTTTGGGAACATTGGCATTATATACAAAGTGAATCATCAGTTTTGGACTGATTGCTTCGAGCCAGGGATCATCAATGACAACACCATTGATGTGAAATTTTGCATTCGAAATATGAAAAAGGCCTTTTCACAGGTTAGTTTGGACCTTTATCTTTCACCCGTTCCCAAGATTAATGAATAAGTCAAGTGAGTAGAAAGCCCTGTAGCAGAACTGTGACGTCCGTGCCATTCCCTTGAACGCATCCCTTTGTTGCAAGAGCATAAAAAGGTGGGGAGAAGTAGCCTAAGTGGAACAAAAATCACTTTATCTTAAGTAAATGAGGAGTGGAAATAATAAATCACCTAAATGCGGAACGCTTCTTGTCGCCAACTATTTGCAACTCGTTCAATTAATGTAATAACAAAGATAATGGTTTTTGGCTACCTCCATTTGCACCACGAAGCTTTTGATTTTAACTTCGATTCCAGTTGTAGAGGACCATACACCTATTATTAAAGTTAAAATCATATTATAACCCTTAGTGCGTCTAGTCGATTCCTATTGGTATGATTAAGCGTCCAACAGTAGGTGCCTCAAAGAAGCGATGTTGGTTTTGTTCAAAAAGGGTCCTTTGTTGTACAGCTTTGTACATTTAGCCGTCCTCAGCGAGAGGTAGACAGGTGGATAGGAAAACTTGGTTTCGTTTTCTTGTGAGGGACCTGTTTTGGTCCCGAATTACCCATAAAAGTAGTAATTAGCAGTGTTTTCTTTTCAGTTTAGAAGCTACTTTCAGCCCTACATTGATTTTTTGGAGACCTATGGCACCCTCATTTCCAATATCAAATACTTGGATGAAAACAACAAATTCTTTTCCATTTACCATGAGGTATGTTAAGTCTTCTCTTATAAAAGACTAATTGTGACGCATATTTAATTCTTCGGACATGTGCGAAGGCCTCTAATTACTTAAAAATGGTTGAGGTGACTGGTTTACATGCCCGTAATTGTGGGTTCCGTGATGGAACCAGCGTCCAAACTAAATGACTGCTTTTGATTGCTAACAGCCATTATCATTTCGCTAAAAAATTTCACCAATGCTAACTCCTTCAACCGGTTTGTTAGTGG